TAAGAAAAATACGACATCATCCCACGATGTAGCGGAGAGAAGGTGACACATTCCGCAAACCGCTACTTTGGTTTTGCCAATCTTATACATTTTGTTAAAAATAGAAAATGAAGATTGTGCAAAGCTTATTGTGTTCTACGGGTCATACATCGCGGTAGGGATCCACAATAGCTTATGACAGCCACACTATGTAGGAAATGTAAAGAGTCACAATTCAGCCAGAAGTCACCATTGCTATAAATTAGAGTGACCTGATGTACATACATATATTGTTTTTACCTCCCCAAGTATATGATCCATTTATTTTCCGCACACAACGGATAACGCTGTTAAAACTCGAGGACTCTTAAGTCCGCTGGACAATCGTTCAAGCGGTGCTTCAGATTACATTGTCTTATTTAGGACAAGGCAAGACAGTGGCGGCATTAGAGCGGAAGCTATCACGCCAGCTTCATTTAACAGTTTGCGTTGATAAATTCAACCTCTAAAGGAGGATCAATGAAAACAGATATGAGCCATAGTTCGTTTGAAAATAGTTAGCTTGATGGCATTTAAGACATTTAAGACAGAATTATACAACTACAGATTAGTTCCCTTCCGGGCCAATGCAGTTTCCTGGAATATTTCTGTGCCTATCCTAGAATTATTACCTTCGAATGGGATTTGTTGCACTGTAGATTTTAAAACTAAAGTGCTGAACACATTGAAAGCTACGGTCAACAGATTCCAATTTGTTATCTTCATTATCTAAACGCTTTGTCGATGGCGACATGATACTTTCGAATGCGGCAGCGACATCATGAATTTGGATGAGTTTGACATAAAAGAAGAGATTTATTCCGGCCACANAACAGTTTGCGTTGATAAATTCAACCTCTAAAGGAGGATCAATGAAAACAGATATGAGCCATAGTTCGTTTGAAAATAGTTAGCTTGATGGCATTTAAGACATTTAAGACAGAATTATGCAACTACAGATTAGTTCCCTTCCGGGCCAATGCAGTTTCCTGGAATATTTCTGTGCCTGGGAATCCTAGAATTATTACCTTCGAATGGGATTTGTTGCACTGTAGATTTTAAATCTAAAGTGCTGAACACATTCAAAGCTACGGTCAACAGCTTCCAATTTGTTATCTTCATTATATAAACGCTTTGTCGATGGCGACATGATACTTTCGAATGCGGCAGCGACATCATGAATTTGGATGAGTTTGACATAAAAGAAGAGATTTATTCCGGCCACAACCACAGTTGTCGCGTAGCCCTGTCGTCGCCAAAATAATGTTCTACATAAGAATACGTGAAAAAA